AGGGATATTGAGTGAACTTATAGGCAGGTGGCAAAAGTTTGTGAACTTAGGTTTTTAAAAATTTCCTTTATTTCAAAATATTAAGGGGGGTACAAATGTTTTTGGTTACTTGAATCACTTTTGTAATGCTTGAGGCACAGCTACAGGTATACCCATCACCCAAATAGTGTTGTTTGTACCCATTAGGTAGATTTTTGCCACTCCTCTCCTCCACACTCCCCCTGTTTGATTTCCACTGAGTTTTACTTCCCTCCTTGCACATGTGTGCTTACTGATTAGTTCCAATTTAATAATGAGTACATGTGGTGTTTGTCCATTCTTGAGATACTTCACGTAGGAGAATAGTCTCCAATTCCAACCAAATTGTTGCAAAAGGCATTAATTCATCCTTTCATATGGCTGAATAGTACTCCATGGTATACATATAGCACATTTTATTAATCCACTCATGTACTGATGGGTACTTAGATTGATGCCACATCTTTGCAATTATGAATTGTGCTGCAATAAACCTTCAAGTGCAGGTGTCTTTTTTTTTTAGAAAGATTTCTTTTCCTTTGGGTAATTAGCCAGTAATGGGATTGCTAGATCAAATGGTAGGTCTAATTTTAGTTCTTTGAGGAATCTCCATACCGTTTTCCATAGAGGTTGTACTAATTTGCAGTCCCACCAACAGTGTATAAGCATTCCTTTCTCTCCACATCCATGCAAACATCTCTTGTTTTGGGGCTTTTAAATAAAAGCCATTCTAACTGGGGTAAGGTGATATTTCATTGTGGTTTTAATATGCATTTCCCTGATGATTAGTGATGTTGAGCATTTTCTCATATGTTTATTGGCCATTTGTCTATCTTCTTTTGAAAACTTCTGTTCGTGTCTTTTGCCCACTTTTTAATGGGATGTTTTTTTTTTTCTTGCCAATTTGCTTGAGATATTTGTAGATTCAAGTTATTAGCCCTTTAACGTATGTATAGCTTGCAGATATTTTCACTCATTCTGTAGATTGTTTGCTCCACTGATTGTTTCCTTAGCTGTGAAAAAGCTTTTTAGCTTAATCAAATCCCATTTACTTATTTTTGTTGTTGCTATGATTGCCGTTGGGGTCTTATTCATAAATTCTTTACCGAGACCGATATCTACAAGAGTTTTTCCTACATTTTCCTCTAAAATTCTTATGGTTTCATGCCTTACATTTAAATCTTTTACCCGTCTTGAATTATTTTTTGTGAATGGTTAGAGATAGGGGTCCTGTTTCATTCTTATGCAGGCAGTTATCCAATTTTTCCAGCACCATTTATTGAATAGGGCTTCTTTTCCCCAGTACACATTATGCCATTTTGGTTACTGTAGCCTTGTAGTATAGTTTGAAGTCTGGTAATGGTGATACCTCTAGATTTGTTATTTTTGCTTAAAATTGCTTTGGCTACTTGGGCTTTCTTCTGGTTCCAAAAAAAGTGTAGATTTATTTTTTCTAGGTCTGTGAAGTATGATGTTAGTATGTTGATGGTGATTGCATTGAATCTATAAGTCACTTTGCATAGCATGGACATTTTTATAATGTTGATTCTGCCAATCCATGAGTATGATATGTTTTTTAATTTGTTATTATAGTCTTCAATTTCTTTCCTCAGTGTTTCATAGTTATCCTTGTAGAGATCTTTCACCTCCTTGGTTAAGTATATTCCTAGGTATTTTATTTTCTTTATGGCTATTGTGAATGGTATTGAGTCTTTCATTTGACTCTCAGCTTGACTGTTATAGGCATATAGAAATCTGACTGATTTATTTACATTTTACAAAGTCCTGAGACTTTACTGAATTTATTTTTCATTTCCAGGAGTCTCTTGGTGGAGGCTTTGGAGTCTTTAAAGTAAAAGATTATGTTGTCAGCTAAGAATGATAGTTTGACCTCCTCTTTCCCAATTTGAATACCCTTAATTTCTTTCTCTTGTCTGAGTGCTCTGGCTAGGACTTCAAGCATTATATTGAATAGAAGTGGTGACAGTGGGCAACCCTAATCTTTGTTCATCCCTGGCATGAAGCTCACTTGATCATGGTGGACTGTTTTTTTGTTTTGATGTGCTGTGAATTCAGTGTGCTAGTATTTTATTGAGGATTTAGCATCTGTATTCATAAGGGGTATTGGACCATGTTTTTTTGTTTTGTTATGTTCTTTCTTGGCTTTGGTATCAAGATGATATTGGCTTCATAGAATGAGTTGGGGAGAATTCCCTCCTTTTCTGTGTTATGGAATAATTTCTGTAGTATGGGTACCAGCTTTTATTTGTAGGTCTTGTGGAATTCAGCTGTGAATCCATCTGTTCCAGGGCTTCTTTTTGTTCAAAGATTTTTTATTACTGCTTGGATTTTGTTGTTCACTATTGGTCTCTTCAGGAATTCTGTTTCTTCCTGATTGAATCTTGGGAGGTTGTGTGTTTCCAGGAACTTTTCCTGGAAATAATCATTCATTATCAAGTTGTTCAATTTCCATGAGTTTGTGCAGGTTCGAATCTTGTGATTGATTTCTAGTTTTATTTCACTGTGGTCTGAGAAGATACATGGTATGATTTCATTTTTTTTTTAATTTGTTGAAGACTATTTTGTGGCCTAAGATATAATCAGTCTTAGAGAATGTCCCATGTGTTGATGAGAAGAATGTATATACAGTATTTTGGAGGTAGTGTTATAGTACGGAGTGCGAGAAATGACCACTTAAAGACCGAATTGAATCGAATTATGAGTCTGTATTAGCTGGCCAGTGACCACCCCTGCCCTGTCAGAGTACAGGTACAGAGAATGGTGGTTAGCCGAAAAAGCAAGCGGGTCTAATACTATTCTAAGATGGGCTACATGACATGAGGTACAGGGAAGTGGGACAAAGACGGGAAGTGGGACAAATTACATCATACATTCCATAACCGTGGGGTCCCGGACCTGCCTTGGACCACCTACTTCGATTACGAGCGACTGATTATAATCTTTAGGCAAGCGGGTTTACAGAAGCAGATAGCATTAGTTAGGTTAAGGACCATTCTTTCTCCAGTTAAGCAAGCACAGTAAAACTTCAACCATAGGCAAGGCAGCTGGAAAGTTTAAACAATCAGTTATAAGAAACAATCAGTTTCGGCTTGATCACTTTGTTTTGCATCCTTAGCCACTAGTACAAAGTACATGTTTGGGCAGTACCTTGTTGCTTTGTTTCTTCTCTTCTGCTATTATTTTATAACAGTTGTGGGCTTTAGCTTTTGTGGGTCATTTTACACTGCTGATTCCTGTATAATGCTGTTCTGAGTACTTCCTGCAGGGCAATCTGGTCATGACAAATTCTCTCAGTGTTTGTCTGGAAAAGACTTAATTTCTCCATCACATGTGAAACATAGTTTTTCTGGAGACGAGATTCTAGATTGGCAGTTGTTCTGTTTAAGAAGATTGAAGATGGGTCCCCACTCCCTTCTGGCTTGTAAGGCTTCTGCTGAGAAATCTGCTATTCTATGGGTTTTCCTTTGTAGATCAGTTGTTGCTTTTGTCTTGTTGGTTGTAGAATTTTCTCCTTCATTTTTACTTTGGACAGGTTGATTACTATATGTCTTGGAGATGTCCCATGGGCTATGAATCTCCCCAGTATTCGATGTCTATTAAAGTTTATTTTACTCCAAACTTTTCTTCATTTTAAGTCATTCCCTAAAGTATTAATTATTGAGAAAGGAGATAAGTACACAATTAAAGCATCAGTAAAATACCCAACAGAAGTCTTTTAGAGCTTAGATAAATGTCACTTCTTTTTTAGGTACAAACATAAAAATGTAAAAATCTGAAATCTAATAAATGGTACTGGAGTTATGAAGGTTTTGAATCTTAGCCAATTACAGCATTAAGAAATAATGATAAATAAATCTGCGATTTACTCTGGTAAGAACTTGATGTGTTTTAGCATTAAGTTGGTAAGTTGATTTAGAATACTATTATTTAGAGCTAATTATGCATGTCCAGATTTATTATACACATTTCTCTTGAAGTCTACATTCCATTCTCTGTCTTATTATTTTTAACTTTTAAAACTAGTGCGTATTATTAAACTATCAATTTGAGAAATATCAACATATAAGTGTTCATCCTAAGGGACACAGAGGTGACATTTCCTAGTTTCACATAGCATTATTTATTTAGCATTTAAAGCAATGTCTCCTCGGCATGATTTTAAACTCGTACAGATGACAAATTATATGACTGTTTCTGTGTTTTGAGATCCTCCTCAGATCCTTTTTTCTCCCAGCTTTGTTTCACATAGATTTAATGAAATTCCAGCGAGGCATTATACATACCTTTACATAATTAATAATCAAATGTCCTCTCTCCTAATAACTATAGGATGTACTTCAGCGTCTCCCACTGACCTTTTAAATTTATTTAATGGTTAGTACTTATGTTGCCTGTAGAAAATTCAGAGTGCCCCACATTTTTTCTCATCACTCTAAAGCTCTTTACTTGTGACTTGTGGCAAATAGGGAAGCTTCTCCTACACCTCCTTCCCCAGTGTGGAGGTTGGACTTATCAAGCACCAGTAGGTCTCCCTAAAGCCATCTTCAAACCTTCTCCTCCCACTCTTTTGTTTGTATCTATCTATCTGTCTGTCAGTCTGTCCATCTATCTATCCAGTAGGTAGGGGCTTAAGTATCTTTTTTTATCCTCTCCTTTATTCATTCTGTATATAGACTATTACCTAAACTATTATATTATCTTTTGCTGTTTCAGCTAAAACTTCCAATTTAGCACCTTGTCCCTCATTTCAAAATATTAAATACTGTAGAAAACCTTACTTGTCTATATTATTATAATTCGTCTATATTATACTTCTGCTTGAGACTGACCCAGAATTTTTTTTGACACTTTTTGTACTCCCCTCAGCATTTAGCTCAATAGTGAAGTCTTAGAAAATGCCTATTAAATACATTTTGACTTAACATGGTGGAAAGTAGAAACTTACTCATTTTTATCTTTAGTTTCAGGTGCAGCATTATGTCTCTCAGAGTCTGGTAACCCTGGGACGTTGCAGCTTGTTGAGAAAATCTATTATACCTCTGCTTCTATCAGAAGTAAATAGCTTTGCTGATGATCTGGGAGCTGTCAATCAGGTACATGTAACTTAAAACTATAGCTCTCATTTATAGATAATGTAGCTATAGGCTCTTCTTTTCTTTTCCTTTTTCCTCCCCTGTCTTTTTGCAAAGCTGGTGTTTTAGTTTTTACTTTATCCATAATGTCTGTGGGTACTATTACTGCCTACTAAAATTACAGAAAGATACTTGTAGAAGATAGTTTTCAAAATAAAACCATCTTATCATTATTACTTATATATATATGTGTGTCAAAGGTGACAGCAAAATACTTAGATGAATGGCCTTAAATCCCTCCAGGCAGGCATCATGTTCCTAAAGCAAAGGAATGTGAGAAAAGTGAACTGGAGAGGATCATAAATGGAGGATGGTCTCTAACCA